TGGTGAGTACACAGAAAGTGTGCTTCGGATGAAGCACGTGAAGATTATACTATGAAAAAAGAAGGTATCTAAAAGTTTGCTAAGCAGATAAGCTACTCAGAAACACCACTGTGTTTGAGCAGGAAACAGGAAGTGATACTCTACCGCAGAGAGAGCGAACACCAAGTGACAGCGTCACTGAGTAAAGCCATTACTGGTGGAGCCATTACTGGTGGAGCCATTACTGGTGGAGGATAGATAGATGGATGGATGGATGGATGGATGGATAAACAGATGGTTGGGTGGATGGATGGATGGTGGAAGGAGAATGGATGGATGGTTGGATGGAGGATGGATGGGTGGAGGTGACTGTTATTGTGATTTGACGCTGGCTGCATAAAAAAACTGATCTGAAACTGGATGGGTGGATGATGAATAGATGGGCAGATGGTGGATGGAAGTTCTGTCTTGTTTCCTAAGTCAGAAAACATTTTTATTATTTTGTATTTAGCTTCTTGCTGTCATGTCCTTGCCATGCAGCTACTCGTTCTTAGTCACAGTCAGCGGTCACATTTGTCACTCTTCTGCCTGTTTCTGATTCTTTTTCAGATGTGACTGAACTTCCCTCTGACCTGTGGGGGCTGCGTCAGCGTTGTTTCATTATGGTCTGTTTCCATGTTTGCACTGTGGTCGGCTGATGGTGCAGGCTTTTCTTCTTTGCTCTGTAAAATTCCTCTAACCTGCTCTTGATCCTGATATTATTGCAAATTACAGACCTATTTCCAAACTGTCTTTTATCTCAAATATTCTTGAAAAGGTAGTTTACAAGTAATTAATGTCCTTTTTAGACGAACACGGTATTTTAGAAGTTTTCCAATCTGGTTTTAAAGCTTTACATAGTACCGAATCTGCCCTTTTAAGAGTTTTTAATTATGTATTTTTAGCAACTGACTCAGGTGCGTTATTATCATGCTTTTAGATTTAACTGCTGCCTTTGATACAGCGGATCATAACATTTTAATTTCCCGTTTAGAGCGGTTGGTGGGTGTTAGGAGTGCCGCACTGCAGTAGTTCAGATCCTGTTTGGCAGAGCGAACCTTCTCTGTGAAACTTGGTGAGTTTGTATCCTCTGCTGCTTCTCTTCAATGTGGGGTCCCACAGGGTTCAGTTTTAGGCCCGCTTCTTTTCTCCCTATATCTCAGACCCCTTGGCTCTATTTTCAGGAAACATGGGATTTCTTTCCACTGTTATGCTGATGACTCCCAGATTTATTTCCCACTTATAAAGATAAATGGCTTCTCAGTAGACCCTCTGCTCAGATGCCTTCATGAAATAAGGGCCTGGATGGCTTTGAACCTTTCACATTTTAATGAGCAGAAAACAGAAGTGATGGTTTTTGGTGGCGCTTCTGAAACCAATACTATTCGCTGGCACAGTATGTTAAACCAGTCATCACTAATCTGGGAATTAAAATGGAGGCAGATCTTAAACTTAAAAGCCAGGTTAGAGCTGTTGTGAGATATAACTTTTTTCATTTGAGGCAATTAAACAAAATAAAGCCCATCTCATCGAAACAGCTTTTTGAGACATTAATCCATGCCTTTGTTACATCTAGGCTGGATTATTGTAACGCACTGTATTGTGGGGTTGGTGATGCATCCATTAGGTGTCTGCAGGTTGTGCAAAATGCTGCTGCTCGTCTTTTAACTGGAACAAAAAAGTCTGAGCACATTACCCCATTTTAATTTCACTCCACTGGCTACCTGTACATTTTAGGATTGTTTTGAGCCAGCTAGATTAGACATCCACAGATTCCAAGTTAGTTTTAAATCACTGTGCATCTATGGCCACAGACAGCAGGGGGTCTGATACCACTGGGTGGTTTATCAGTCGTGATGTCACCTGAATGGACATTATTAATGTCTCAGTTGCTCATGACATTTTTAGCAGAAAACTCTGATTTACAGAGAATATTGTGAGAACTACAGCCACATTTGAGTTTATCAAAACATTGTTAAGGATGAGTCTAATTCGGGTGGCTCAACTCTTTTCTTCTGCAGGTGTTTTGGAATTTTAAACTTCACTTTGACTGTTCAAATTGAATTTTAACGAATAACCAGAATGCAGTTTCACAGGATTTCACACTCAGTTATTAAATGCTCACCTTGTTGTTGTTGTCCCGTCTATTTCCAGGCACAGGAAATAATGCTGAGGGCTTCTTTTTTCTAGGTCAGGGGGAGGAATGAAAAACGTAATTAAAAGTAAGCAATCTGAGCACCAACAAGGGTGATTTTTAATGTGCAGTAGATACTCACGCAAGCAGGAAAAAGACCAAGAGGCATATAATAACTAGGAAAACCACAAGAGTTATTCCAGTGACAGCTAGTTTTGCCGCCTGCGGGAAATCTGTGATTTAAAAACAAATATAAAAAATAAAAACATGTATTTATATGCAGCCAGATTACGGATTACAGACAATAATCCTTGCTTTGTTTTCTCTTCTATATAAATGTTGCTGGTTTTTAAGTTGTAATTGATGGACTGCTTGATTTGTTTGTTTGTTTTGTGAGCATTATTGTTATCTCACCATATTAATAGATTTGTATAAGTTAAACTCCGAGTGATTGTGAATAGTTTGCTATTATTGTTTAGTGTGTCCATGCACTGATTATAAACAATGCCATGAGCTGCTCATTACTACCACACACATTATTGTATATAGTGGGTTATGACATCTATGAGCAAATGAGTAAGTGAAATAAAAAATGTACCTTCCCTGACAGTCAGCTGTAAGGTGACATTATGACGTCCTCTGCTGTTGTGGGCCACACAGTAATAACTCCCACTGTGCTCAGGTCTGATGTTGCTGATGGTGAAGTTGTGTCCTGATGCTTTAGGTGAGTCTTCATCCTCCTTGTACCAGGTGTAGTTAGCTGCTGGGTTAGCATCACTGCTACAGGTCAGAGTGACTGAACTGCCCTCCACTATCTCAGCAGAGGGACTCACTGACACAGAGGGAAGCTTTGGAGGATCTAGTAAACATTAAATAAAAAACATGTATATAATTACATTCTATTAATGTTATCAAGTATTATTTTTAGAGATCTCCACGGAAAAAAAAAAAAAACTAACATTGAACATCTATGGATAGAGACGTAGAGTTCTTTTCTCCATACTGATTCTCAGACTTGCAGGAATAATTCCCGCTGTTCTCCAGTTTAGATGGAGATAAAGTGATAAACATCCTTTTGTCCTGTTGCCAGTACTTTGTTGTCCTTGTACCAGGTGTAACTAGGTGCTGGGTTAGCATCACTGCTACAGGTCAGAGTGACTGAACTGCCCTCCACTATCTCAGCAGAGGGACTCACTGACACAGAGGGCAGCTTTGGAGGATCTAGCAAACATTAAATAAAAAACATGTATATAATCACATTCTATTAATGTTATCAAGTATTATTTTTAGAGATCTCCACTGAAAAAAGACTAACATTGAACATCTATGGATAGAGACGTAGAGTTCTTCTGTCCATACTGATTCTCAGACTTGCAGGAATAATTCCCACTGTTCTCCAATTTAATGGAGATAAAGTGATAAACATTCTTTTGTCCTGTTGCCAGTATTTTGTTGTCCTTGTACCAGGTGTAACTAGGTGCTGGGTTAGCATCACTGCTACAGGTCAGAGTGACTGAACTGCCCTCCACTATCTCAGCAGAGGGACTCACTGACACAGAGGGAAGCTTTGGAGCATCTGTTAATATATAAGAGTTTAATGTAAATTATCAGTGTCTTACACACACACTGTTAATGAAAAAACTAAGTTACATACGTAAAAGAGTACATTGATGTGTTATATTTATTAAAAGACATTCACAGAACAAATAAAAAAATCCTAAATAACCTTTAGTCCAAAAAAGTGTGACAAAATTGTGTAAAATATAAATAAAATACAAATACAATATATTGTTTTGCAACTCATCAGAACACAGAAAACATACCACATCCTAAACTAAGACAATGTACTTAAAAATATATTTATTTTACTCACATTTCACATCAATGTTTCTGCTTTCAGATCTCTTTTGTCCCAGGTCATTATCAGCTGTACAGTAATACTTTCCAGAGTCAGAGGGCAGGATGGAGCTGAAAACATGTTGGTTTTGGTAACTGAGAGGGTTGATGACATCCTCCTTGTACCAGGTGTAACTAGCTGCTGGGTTAGCATCACTGCTACAGGTCAGAGCCACTGAACTGCCCTCCACTATCTCAGCAGAGGGACTCACTGACACAGAGGGAAGCTTTGGAGCATCTGGAGGAGGAAACATACAATATGTAATTACAATGTATACAATATATAGTTAGAACCAAATTTTCAAATATTAATAGCTTATATTCTAAAAGGAAAACATTGTAAACTTCCCAAAACAAAACAAATCCGCTTTATTGAGGAGTAAAGGAGTAAGAGAAGTGAACTCACACACTGTTAGAATGGAAAAGCTCTTATCCTTTCACAGCACAGTTAAAACTGTCTGCAGGTTTTTCTTCAGCTAAAAACTTGTTTGATTTCAATATTAGAGGAATCTCAATGAAACTGCTTTGCTTTGAAGAATTGATTTGTGTGTAATGAGAAGCTGCAGTTGATGTTCTCAGTTGGATAAAGCAGTCTGTTATTTAAAGAAATGTCAAATATTTGTATGAACACACTTTTGAAAGTGGAAATGATCGGATCAAACTATATATCACTATTTACTGAGATTTCGATGTAGACATTTGTAACGGTTCTTACATGTGTTTGTCTACAGTGGCTTGCAAAAGTATTCGGCCCCCTTGAACTTTTCCACATTTTGTCACATTACAGCCACAAACATGAATCATTTTATTGGAATTCCACTGAAAGACCAACACAAAGTGGTGTACACGTGAGAAGTGGAACGAAAATCATACATGATTCCAAACATTTTTTACAAATAAATAACTGCAAAGTGGGGTGTGCGTAATTATTCAGCCCCCTTTGGTCTGAGTGCAGTCAGTTGCCCATAGACATTGCCTGATGAGTGCTAATGACTAAATAGAGTGCACCTGTGTGTAATCTAATGTCAGTACAATACAGCTGCTCTGTGACGGCCTCAGAGTTGTCTAAGAGAATATTGGGAGCAACAACACCATGACAGGGATACAAGATATTGAGAAATTTAAAGCAGGCTTAGGCTACAAAAAGATTTCCCAAGCCTTGAACATCCCACGGAGCACTGTTCAAGCCATCATTCAGAAATGGAAGGAGTATGGCACAACTGTAAACCTACCAAGACAAGGCCGTCCACCTAAACTCACAGGCCGAACAAGGAGAGCGCTGATCAGAAATGCAGCCAAGAGGCCCATGGTGACTCTGGACAGAGCTTCAGAGATCTACAGCTCAGGTGGGGGAATCTGTCCATAGGACAACTATTAGTCGTGCACTGCACAAAGTTATCCTTATGACAAGGCAGAAGCCTTATTGTTATAAAGCACTTTAACATAAAACCAGAGTTCACAAAGTGCTGTACATGCTAAAAGCATAAGTAAAGAAAATTAAAATGAGATAAGATAAAATAAATAACTAAAAAACTAAAATAAATTGAAACATGTCAAAACAAATTGAGTCAACCCCTCTAATCAATGCCAAAGGCTTCAGCGAATAAATATGTTTTAAGAAGACTTTTAAATTCAGAGAGAGAAGAGGCCTGCCTAACATGCAAGGGTAGATCATTCCACAACTTTGGAGCAACTACAGCAAAAGCACGATCACCTTTAGATTTATACTTAGTTTTTGGTACCTTAAGGAGCTGCTGATTGGCGGACCTAAGGGAACGGGGAGGTGTATATGGTTGTAGTAGCTCCGAGAGGTAGGGGGGGGCCAGGCCATTAAGAGATTTAAAAGCAAATAAGAGAATTTTAA